GACCATAAACACATCCTGAACTCTGTTAATTTTTACAACATAACCAGATTACTGGCCTTTACCAAAGATCATAAGTAACCACTGGATGAGGAAATGTGGAAGGGAGATTCTTAAGACTCCTAAAGTTCAACTGTTACTTCAAGGGAGGGTAATAGTTTGGCCTGTAGTTTGGCCTACTTAATGTGCATGGTCACATCCGGGAGTTGGTGATGGACAGGGAAGCCTGGCATGCTGCAGTCCTTGGGGTTGCAGAGTTGGACATGACTAAGCGACTGAACTGACTTAACCTGCAGGCAGGCACAGGCACTCTAAGCCCTAGAGCTTCATCATGACTCCTCTATAATAGATTTAAATTTACATAGAGCACCCAAACTATTCTGCATGACAGTCTGATGGCTCTGGATTTACACAAGGAACCACATATCATCTTAAAATACTCTGTTAAACAGGACTCATGGCTGCCATCAAATCCAAGTCAAATCAGTTTCAGTAAAAACAAGGAGAGGAACATATTGACTTGTGTGATTGGAGAGAAGAGAGACAGAGAACATGATATTCAACATAAATCATTGGGAGTCATTCCGCCTCCCATCTCCATCTCTCAGTACTGTTTTTCTTTCTGTATCAGCTTCATTCCCTCTTAAAGTACTATAGGCATCTTTCACATAGCAGTGAAGAGCACCTATCATGAGTATTGGCCTCAATTCCAGCATTATAACATGAGGCTCAATGGCAGAGCCAGCTGCCTGTCCAACTTTAACATAATGACTGGTTCAAGTGGGATTGCTTGCACATTACTCAAATAATCATTATTGTCATAAGACACACGGTGTACGTATGGTCAAATCCCACCTCCTGTGATCAGAAGTGTGGAGTTCTGTTAGTGATAGCCCCATTAGAACCACACCGAGTGGATGTGGATGGTTTCTCTCTACACAAGGGATGCCAACCAGCTAAAATTTCTTACGCATACATTCACTTTAACTCTCTGTATCAAAGCCAAAGTTTGAAAGTTATAGCTAGAGTTACTGCCAGCATCATCTTTTCACTACATCCTGGCCACATTGGCCTCCTCGCTGTTCTAAACAAGTCATACACACTCCTGCCTCTGACCCTTCATACTTTCACTTGGCTTCCCCCAAGAAATCACATGGTTATTTCCTTACTTCCTTAACATCAGTGTTCAAATATCACCTTCTCAGTGAAGATTACACTAAAATGGCAATATTCTTATGCCTCTACACACATACACCTCTAATCTTCCTACCCAGCTTTAGCTTTTTCCTAAGTATTTATCACTATCTAATATACCCTGTGGGTGTCCCTGGTGGCTTAGAGTAAAGAATCCACCTGCAATGCAGAAGACAAGGGTTCGATCCCTGGGTTGGGAAGATCCCCCTGGAAAAGGAAATGGCAACCCACTCCAGTATTCTTCTCTGGGAAATCTCATGGACAGAGGAGTTTGGTGGAACAGTCCATGGGGTTGCAAAAGAGCTGGACATGATTTAGCCACCAAACAACAACAATATACCCTGTATTTACTTATCTTACTATCTCAAGATCATAGCATATGAGAACAGAAACTTTTCTGTTTCATTACTCCATCATATATCTCCAGCACTTAGTACAGTGCCTAGCATGAATATTTGATGAATGAACAAATGATGGAATTGAGCAAGGGTGCCTTATCACTCTCAGTATCAAATGATATGCACTACAGTACTACACAGGAAACAGTATAGAACAGTACAGTCCATGAATACAGGCCTCATTTATCAACTTCCCTGGGCTACCATGGACTTGCCTGGCAGCTCAGATGGTAAAGAATCCACACCCAGTGCAGAAGACCTGGGTTCAATCTCTGGGTCAGAAAGATCCCCTGGAGAAGGGAATCACTCCCTACCCCAGTATTCTTGCCTGGAGAACTCCATTGGACAGAGGAACCTGGTGGGCTACAGTCCATGGGATTGCAAAGAGTCAGACATGACTAAGAAACTAACACTTTGACTTCTCTTTTGCTGGGCTACCATAGTTTAGTGAGTATGTCTTGACCTCTGTGCTGTGGAACTAGATCAAGGGTGGGTATTCCACAGTTCTCTGGGATGCCCCTAGGTCAATTCAAGCCCTTTCTCACATCCTAGTTAGGTCTCTGCAATCTGCTGACTAAGTAGCTGCTTGGTTTCTTAATGCACACTCCTTTTCGCCACAAGGACTTAAATCCTCTTCTGAATCATACGACACCCTGCCTAGCCAGGAGGTTTGATTCTGACTCCCAATTAAAAACTGTTAGCCAGGGTACAACTTCAGCCAGACAGACCACCTGGCAAGGTGCTGCCCACAATCAGAGACAGAATATTGCCAGAAAACAGGGAATACTGTTGCAACATCCATCTGCCCCCAGACTGGATCCCCAACAATATTGATTTAGTCTGACATTCCTGGACTTTGAGAATTCTGTTGCAGGAAGGAGGACCCCTTCTAGAGCCTAAGGGTGGGCTCTTGTCAAATACTCAGAAATGAATTGTCTGAGGAGATACATGTGCTGACAAAGCGAGAGATTTTATTGGGAGGGATTTTATTAGGAAGGTGTACCCAGTGGAGAGCAGAAGCGTAAGTGAACCTAGGAGGACTGTTCTGTCACGTGGCTCACAATCTCGGGTTTTATGGTGATGAGATTTGTTTCTAGATTGTCTCTGGCCAATCATTCTGACTCGGGGTTCTTCCTGGTGGCCCATGCAACACCCAGCCAAGATGGATTTCACTGAGAAGGCCCCTGGAAGGATAGGACATATGGACTGGTGTCTCCTATTGACTTTTGACTCTACCCAAATTCTTCCAGCTGATGGTAGCTTGTTAGTTCCATGTTCCTTATCAGGCCCTCCTATCATAAAGTAACTCATGCAAATAGTTACTCTGGTGCCTGGTCAGGCAGCGGTTTCAGTCAGTGCTTCCCCCAACAACTCCTCGTGCACCCTAAGATTCCCATTACAGCGCCACAATGGGATTATCCCCTACGCCAATTCCTCCTGTTTCCAAGCTTCCCCCTCTGACTGCAGACCTCATGGCGATGAATGCCCCATGCAGGCTTCCCAGAGTTCCTCTCAAACCCTATAAGAACTAGCAAAAGTCTTTCATGCTTGGGCTTATTTCCACACCTGGGATCCTAAGTTTAAAAATTAAATGGCACATATGAAAGCACTTTCAAAGTTCAGTGTTGAAAGTGTTAGTTGCTCAGTCATGTACAACTCTTTGTGACCCCATCAACTGTAACCCACCAGGCTCCTCTGTCCATGGAATTCTCTACACAAGAAGACTGTAATGTGAAGCCATTCCCTTTTCCAAGGGATCTTCCTAACCTAGGGATTGAACTCAGTTCTCCGGCATTGTAGGTGGATTCTTTACCACTGAGCCACCAGGGAAGCCCTCAAGTTCAGAGTTGTCTGCAAATGTACCCACATACATATTCAGTGAAAAAAAGATGGACTATTTAATAAGTATTGTTGAGACAACTGGCTAACCATTTGGAAAAAAATTAAGCTGAACTCCTAGCAGACTCTTTTTATTAAAACAAACTCCAATTGTATGAAACATTTAACTGCAAAAAAACTTAAACCACTAGAATGAAAGATAGGTTAATTTGTTTATAATCCTAGAAAATTTTTCTAATCATGACACAAAGCTTAGAACGCTTAAGAGACTATTCAGTTTGGCCACTTACAAATTAAAAATCTACAATCAAAATCCTATTAAAAAGTCAAAAGTAAAAAAGGTGGGGAAAATATTTTTAAAACATGACAAACAAAAGGTCAATGTTCTCAATAACTAAACGGTTATTATAAATCATTTTAAAGTGAATAATCTAATATTAAACATGATTTTTACAAAGTATATTTATTCTCTTTAATAATCAGGAATATATGAACTAAAAAATGTTTTTTTAATTTGTTCAAATATGTATGGCATGATTATACAACATTATAATAGCCTACTTTTATAATGCCTAATTTGATGCTATAAGATTTTGTTATTAGGAAGTAGTCCAGAGAAGGAAATGGCATCCCACTCCAGTACTCTTGCCTGGAAAATCCCATGGACAGAGGAGCCTAGTAGGCTACAGTCCATGGGGTCACAAAGAGTCAGACACGACTGAGAGACTTTACTTCACTTCCACTGCAATTTCTTTAAAAGATATTTTTTCTACAGAAATATGAAAAATAGAAATACACATAACCTATGCACCAATCAAGTCCTCTTCTAGGGATGTGTCCTACTTCCACAAGTGTGAAAAAATCTCTCTTTATGAGGGCTCATTGTAGCACTGTTGTAACAACAAAACCTCATTAGTGATCAATAAGACATGGGGGAAATAAATGGAATAATGTGCCTCCATTAAAAACAATCATTTATATCAAGTATGTATTGATACAGAAAGACTTTCAAATACATTGTTTAAAAAATGTTAAGGCTTTAGAACAGTATTTTGAGTTAAATTACAAATATGGTAACATATATCCAAAACATCTGGATGTTTACAATAAAGTGTTTTCTTAGGGAGGCGTGAGACTAGGGGATGGAGGAAAGCCTTAAGGCCTATCGCAAAGATCAACAAAAAATTAGCCCGCCAGCAATTTCAGGCTACTTTGTTGCCTGAAACAACAAAGTCAAAGTTGTTGATCTTGTTCACTAATTTTTGTGTGACATTAACTCAAGAACTGCCCTGAAATAGTCAATGAACAACCTGAGCAATTGCTCAAGAGATCATGAGCTAACGTTGCTATGCTGCTAAGGTTTTAGAAGACCTATCGTCTTTTAGGTAGAAATATCTTTCAGATACTCATTTTATCACGGTCCCTCTATCTCCCATTCCAGCACTGATGAGTTTGATTGGCTTTAAGAAACTTCTAAAATAAGATGTCATTATGTAACTTAAATGAAACAACTTTTGAACACCTGTGTAAACTGTTTTTTTTTTTTCTAAATTTTAATGACATTTCCTGCAGCTCTAGAGAAGAAGAATGAAGTACGAACTGTCTGCACCCTGAAAACCAGGTGCTTTTGAACGACATTTCTCACCTGCCCTTTTCATTTCTGCAAGTGTTTTTCAACAACCAGAAAGTGTGAAGAGTAAAGCGCCCTGAAATCCACCAGAGCTTCACACGTCGTCTTCTTCTCTTGAGCCTCAGGGCTCACACAGCCAGATATGTTTTTTCAGCTCTGAAAAACGGTTAAACAACCTCCCCAAAGCGACATGCAAGTCAAAGGCACAGTTGTCAGGGCCAGAATGTGAAAAGCACCCAGCCACTTTTCCCCCCCGCTGCGGGCAACACCAGTCTCCAGCTCTTGGTATACAAAGAATCTCTGCGGGAACCAAAGAGGCCATTAGAAACTACAATTCCCAGCAGGCTTAGCGGGGGCCGGGTCACGCAGGCGCATTTCAGATCCTGGGAATGAGGGCCCGAGGTGGGACTTCTAAAAGAGGAAAATGGCAGCTCACCGGCTGTGGCCGGGCGTCTGCAGGCTGTTTGCTATGGGACCAGAGCTGGGGAGCGCAAGACGAGCTTACAGCGCGTTCCAGGCCTTCACGGAAGTTCTACGGCTGCCGAGCAAGCAGCTGACGAAGCTGGTCTTCCCGCTGCAAGAACTCCATGGGCATTTCGTCCCGGGCTCGAGGCCAGACCTTCACCTGAATATCTTCCACCCGAGCTTGGAGGACATCGCGCGGGCGGAGAGCTTCTTCACGGCCTCCGCCCGAAACCGCATCGAGTACCTCACCTCGGCTGTGCGTCTGGACCACGCCCCGGACCTTCGCCACCCGGAGGTGAGCGCCGCAGCCACCTGCGGGTACTGAGGGCTTGGGCTGTGATTTTGCTTTTAAAAAGCAAAGCCATATGTATTAATAGTTAGTCTCAAAAATACTTTGTTGCTTTCTACACTCACACTAAAGGAGAAAAGCATAAATGGAACAAGAAAGGTCAAGAGAAAGAAATAATTATGATGTAATGGTGTACTTTGAGAATTTGTGGGAAAACGGTTTCAAACAGGAGTGACTTTAGAGCCAATTTTGTTGAAATGCATGTAATTGTTAACTTAAAAAAGCTTTGAAAATATGGAATTAATAATAAGTGTTGCAGATGTTCTTGAGTGGCATGTAATTAAAAGCACAGGTACAGATATAGATGTCTGGATTTCAGTTTCCAGCTTCTTCACTTTCTAGCTGTATAATTTGGGGCTGGATATTGAACCTCTCTGCCTCTGGTTTTATCACCTAAAAAATGAGAATACTTTTACAGTTTATGAGACAGATAACTTATAATATTATCTGTCTCATAGGGATGTTGTAAAGAGTAAATAAGAAAATAACAAGTGCTTTTAAAACAGTACCTGCCACATTGAAATCATTTAATATATAGTAGCTGTATATTAGAATTTGAAGGTTGACTAACCATAAGCTACTTTTTTATAGTTAGTCAAGGCTAAATAGTATTTACAGATTTTTACAGGTAATACGGGTTGGCCAAAAAGTTCATTTGGGTTTTACTGTACCAGCTTACAGAAAAACCCAAATGAACTTTTTGGCCAACCCAATACACTAGTACTCAATTATCTTCTTTTTGCCTGTATAAGGTGTGTTTTATAGGCAGAAGCAATGTTGGAAAATCCTCTCTAATAAAGGCTTTGTTTTCACTTGCCCCAGAGGTTGAAGTTAGAGTCTCCAAAAAACCGGTATGTCAAAATTTAAAACATATCTGAACTACCTCTGAATTGACTAAGATGACTAATAAATATGGGGGGGGGGGGCAGGGGTTAGAAACCATAATTGCTAAGTTCCTAGAAAAGTGATTTCTTTCAAACAAGTGCTAATGTAAGACATTTCATTAATGCCGGTGTATTTCTCTGAAGAAAATGGAAGTATATCTGGATTTATTTTAGTAACCTGGCCAGTATCTTGAGGAAATTTTCCTTGGTACAGTCTTTTCTCAAGAGTTGTTCCATTGTCATTCTATATTTGCTTCTATGAGAATGCTCATCTAGTTCTACATTGATTTTTAAAGGAAACAGCTTTCAAGTGTATTTTTTTTCCTCCTATAATCTTTTATACCTAGCTAACTCATATATATATATATATATATACATATGTATATATATATATATATATATACGAATCAGACAGTTCCCAATTTACCCAGGGCCAAATTTATATGCCTAATATCCCAGTCAGTCTGCTGTAGTAGCTTTTTGTCATTTTCTCATTTCTTCTGCTTCCTTTTCAATAATACAGACTCTACCAATATTTAAGGTACCCTTTCCTTTTCAATAATACAGACTCTACCAATATTTAAGGTACCCTCTCCTCACCCCAGGTCCCCTCACCTATCTATCCTTGGCAAAATGTTCCTACCAACCCAGTCCTCACTGCCCCCATTTCCTTACATTAGAACCCTTCCCTGAGGCTTCACTAATCTTTTCTTACTCCCAGTTTCATCACATAGTTGATTCCCTGATACTACCTCTGATGACTGTAGTCATTTGTTAACCCTCCTATCCTTACTCCCTTGTGCCCTGCCTCATCAAATGCCATAGTTCAACTCTCACTTTTAGGTAGGGGTGTTCCCTTTTTGCTGTGAGAAGGCTGAAGAACTGTATTCTTGACATTTCTAATCTGTAATTCTAAAGTTATTTTCCTATAGATAGACACATAATCTGCCTGGGAACCTAAGCATCATTTATAAAACCTCTCCTGAGTTCTGAACAGTTGATTTTTAAAGTTTTTTGTCATAATTTTTCCTTTTCTGATTATTAATTGTCCGTGGACAGAAAACCACGTGAATAAACTATTTTTATCATCTTTACATTAGTTGTAGTTGCACAAGTACTTTACAGTTGTACATGCTTTTTAAAAAATGGCTTAATGAAAGCACCAAACCCATCTAATAAAACATTCAAATTGATTTTAGGCAAGTAATACTCTAGCTACACTATCAAACTTTGCATCTAGTTTTTATGAAAACTTGTATGACTGACAGTAAGCATTTAATTTATCCTGTCTGTGCATTAATTCATTTAAAATGGAGATAATTCTTTAAAGTGGAAATATATTATCCATCAGAGAATATTGACTAATGTAGTCATACTATTTAGACCAGTATAACTTTTTCACTGGGAGAGAACTAATGAAACAGGAAGACTTGAAAATATTTTGCCTGCATATTTCTAATATGGAATTTGAAGTTCTTAAATCATATAGATTCTCTTTTAAAAAATGAATTGGAAGGAGGAAGTAGTATCATCTAAGCTTATCTCCAGCCACTTCTCTTCTGTTTCTTTTTCCTGTATCGTCATCTGCATAGGGTTATATACAGAATACTTTTATGTGTTTAATAAGTAATTATTGATTGAACAGAAAATATTTTGAGTCATGAAATATATAAAGGACATATTTTAAGAAACTTATATTTACATTTACTTTATCAGGGCCATACAAAGAAAATTAATTTTTACAAAGTTGGAAAATACTTTACATTGGCGGACATGCCAGGTTATGGCTATAGAGCACCTGAAGATTTTGTTGACATGGTAGAAACCTACCTAAAAGAACGAAAGAAGTAAGAAGCTTTTTTTCTTTATAATTCTTATATTTAACCCCTAAACATGTTTTCATGAATAGAACATTCTATACATGATGAACTCTTCAGTTTTATCAAATAACTTTTCTAGAAAGTTTACTTTATTCTCATAATATTCTGTACTGTTTCGGAGGAAGGTATGTACTGTCTGCTTAGTTTTTTTTCCTGTAAACTATTTTAAATGTAAATTCAATTGTTTTCCTTTATTGAGACTACAAGTAGTACATCAGCAGACTTTATTAATTTTTTATACCAAACTCTTAGCTGGCTATTTTTTAAAATGAAATTTGTTGGTTAATGGGGTGTTTACCAGATTTAAATAAACTTCAGTAAATTCTGGTTATTCTTAAAATACTTCTGATATCACAGCCTCGATAAATACTACCTTTATTTGTCTCCATAGGTAGCCAGGTAGCAGGTCTATGTTTCAAGCATTGCACAATATATGGAAAAATTAATGTTAAACTTTTGAAGTATAAAAAAGTGTTTGTAAGTAATTTACCTGTTGTATCTTAACATAGAAGCTAAGATAAAATACTTACACAAGAAAATACAAAATATAATGTGTTTGGTTTTGTTATTTGCTAGTCTTAAAGTAATATTTGAAGACTTAGACACTTTTATGGTAACTTATAGTTAACTGGGTCCCTGTTTCATTCTCCCACTAGAGTTCAGTCACTTAGAGGAAGGGGCTTATTCATCTTTGTATACAGTTCTAGGCAGAGTGTCATATGTTCAATATATGCTATTGAAATAATGTTAATGAGTCTCGCTATTGAACGTAACCAACACTGAGACCTATTGGAACTTGGATGGACTTCATGGTAAATTAAGAAGTCCTTTTGCCTAAAGAAATTTTTAAATTTTGATCTGATAATTTTTCAAAAGACAATTTCTTAGTATAGTGAAAGTCGGGGTGGGGGGTGGAAATGAATGAGTATATTTTTCTTTGCTGTTAATCTTCATTTCTGCATTCCTACAGTTTGATGAGAACATTTTTATTAGTGGATAGTGTTGTTGGAATTCAAAAAGCAGACAATATTGCCATAGAAATGTGTGAAGAATTTGCATTACCTTATGTGGTAAGTGTTTCTTTTGACTCATGGTTTGCACTCAGAAATATGAGTTCCCTGTGTGTCTGTCTTTTTAATAAATGAGTACATCTCTCCTCCTCAAAAAATAAAGGAGTACCTTTTAAACTGTCTTTTCAATTTTTAGCCATTAATATTAAAATAAGTTCTGTGGTACTTTTATTCCCTTTCCTTCTCCTAGCTTTTAAATTCTCAAAATTATAGTCAAAGTTTTCTAAACTGTTCATCTAGTGATTCTAAATGCTTTTCTTTGTTTTTTTGTTGTTGTTTTTTCTTTTTTAAATGTCTAGAAACATTCGCTAAAACTCCTTAGTTAACTAATTAACTAGTTAGTTAAGTCTCTCAGTCGTGTCCGACTCTTTGCGACCCTGTGGACTGTAGCCCACCAAACTCCTCCATCCATGGGATTCTCCAGGCAAGAATACTGGAGTGGGTTGCCATTTCTTTCTCCAGGGGATCTTCCCGACCCTGGGATCAAACCCAGCTCTCCCGCATTGCGGGCAGACGCTTTAACCTCTGAGCCACCAGGGAAGCCCTAAAACTACTTAGTAGCTCTTTAATAGCAGCTTGGTACTCAGCAGTGGCCACAGGACTGGAAAAGGTCAGTTTTCATTCCAATCCCAAAGAAAGGCAATGCCAAAGAATGCTCAAATTACTGCACAATTGTACTCATCTCACACACTAGTAAAGTAATGTTTAAAAGTCTCCAAGCCAGTCTTCAGCAATACGTGAACCGTGAACTTCCAGATGTTCAAGCTGGATGTAGAAAAGGCAGAGGAACCAGAAATCAAATTGACAACATCCACTGGATCATCGAAAAAGGAAGAGAGTTCCAGAAAAATATCTGTTTCTGCTTTATTGACTATGCCAAAGCCTTTCACTGTGTGGATCTCAATAAATGTGGAAAATTCTGAAAGGGCTAGGAATACCAGACACCTGACCTGCCTCTTGAGAAAACTGTATGCATGTCAGGAAGCAACAGTTAGAACTGGACATGGAACAACAGACTGGTTCCAAATAGGAAAAGGAGTACCTCAAGGGTGCATTCTGTCACCCTGCTTATTTAACTTATATGCAGAGTACATCATGAGAAACACTGGGCTGGAGGAAGCACAAGCTGGAATCAAGATTGCCGGGAGAAATATCAATAACCTCAGATATGCAAATGATACAACCCTTATGGCAGAAAGTGAAGAAGAACTAACGAGCCTCTTGATGAAAGTGAAAAAGTTGGCTTAAAACTCAACATTTATGAGATGGTTGGATGGCATCACTGACTCAATGGACATGGGTTTGGGTGGACTCTGGGAGTTGGTGATGGACAGGGAGGCCTGGTGTGCTGCTCTTCATGGGGTCATAAAGAGTCGGACACGACTGAGCAACTGAACTGAACTGAATTGAACTGGCAGATAGTACTTATCAGAATGTAAATGAAACTGCAACTGAAAAATTTGCTAAACTAATTTGGAATTTAAGAACATCACAAAAATTTAGTAGGCTTCAGCACACAAAGGTAGGATGTTTATATTCTTAAGGAAAAGAAAATTTCTTATGAGAATATCTTACCTGTTCTTTCTGTTATTTACCCTAGAATAGAATACAGATTGGTAGGTTGGTGTCCGCAATTATTTTGTTTTGTATGTTTTTCAGATTAAATGGCAGTCTTATAACTTGTTTTCAAAAAATGTCAGAAAACCACTAAAATGTAGTTGTTTTGCAGTTTAATGCAAATCAAACCATGTTCCCAGTCAAAAAGCTATTTGCCTTTGTGGGGTTATGGAATTCTTGGGGTTTCCAAATGCCCTTTGAAACATTACAGATAATTTATAGTTATGAGGAGTCAAAGGACTGATAAACATAGTCTACATAGTAAAAAAAAAAAAGGAAAGCCCAAATATCCCCCAACCAGTTTTGTTGTTATTGTTGTTTTTCATTTATTTTTATTAGTTGGAGACCAATTACTTTACAACATTGTAGTGGGTTTTGTCATACATTGACATGAATCAGCCATGGAGTTACATGTATTCCCCATCCCAATCCCCCCTCCCACCTCCCTCTCCACCCAGTTCCTCTGGGTCTTCCCAGAGCACCAGGCCCGAGCACTTGGCTCATTCATCCAACCTGGGCTGGTGATCTGTTTCACTATAGATAATATACATGTTTCGATGCTGTTCTCTCGAAACATCCCACCCTCACCTTCTCCCACAGAGTCCAAAAGTCTTTTCTGTACATCTGTGTCTCTTTTTCTGTTTTGCATATAGGGTTATCATTACCATCTTTCTAAATTCCATATATATGTGTTAGTAT